GCTTTATCAGAGCACTCCTGTGCATATTTGTTCAATTCCCTGTTTATTAACTTGAAGGTAAGCTATGTAGCCCTGTAACTTGGAGGTACATGGAAATTATCTTGGAAACTCTGCCTATTTCAAGAAATACTGTAACGAGTATAAATTTTATGAGAAAACTTTCAGAAGAAAAAAAATAGCAACTCATGAAAAAAGGGACTGAAACTTATTTGGGTTAGGTTGAATTTATAAAAAGCCAAGACAAAAATTAATGACACTCTCAGTTCTTTATTTAAACATTGCTAATCTTCCTAATGAACTGTTCCATTCAATCTTTGGTGAGAAAAATGGTAAGAATAGAATAATTTTATAAATAAAACTCTTCTCAGTTTAGAATTTTCTGGTAGCTGTCTTTGTGCTTTCAAATTAATAATGCAACAGGATTGCTTTTGGTCTTATTTATGCAGGAAGCCAAAGAATCATTGTTATTTTGATGCCACAAATAAGAAATGTTCCAAATCAGAATATATAGAATGTCAAATGCTCAAATGCTTTGACCTTCAACCTTAAGAGAACATTAGTTTGATTAAGATACAAAATCAAAGACTGTTTTCTTCATTTACCACACTAACCCAAATACATATGTGTACACCTACATACCTGCATTGCCTTCCTTTAGCCTTAAATATAGTCATAGGTTTATTTTTATGGCTGTAGAACAGGAAAGCATTTGCTATTCACCCAGAACTTGCCATTTTAGAGTTTTTCTTACCAATAATCATTTAATACAAATTTTTGTTGAAATTAAGCTCTTGACTCAAGCTTACATGTATAACACTGTGTCATGCTGGGCAATGCCCATGAGGAAGCCCTGATAACAAAACAAATAACGTCAGTAGTGATTCACCAACCTAAGATATATGGACTCCAAATCAATGACACTTTAAAGATAAACAAGCATTTTGCACACTAATAAATAATGTCTTAAATCTTGCTATATTGGATTGCAAATAACTCCAACTGAATAAAATTGCACGACACAAGATTTACTTATTCTGCATGTTCATAAAAAACAACTTGTTCTCTGACAGCCCTCATTCTTGGCAATTTACCACAGCTGTCAGGGGCCAATTTGTTCAGATTACTGCTCTGCATAAAAGTGTAACAATCATGAGGATTTATTAGCTGATTATCATGAAGGTGGCAGTCCTTCTTGCCTACCAAAATGCAGGTGATCAGAAAGTTAAATAATTACATGTGGATTAACGTTATTTCACTTTCACTTGCAATTTGTAGTTCAGCAACAGGTAAGATTTGTTGTTGAAACTTGCAGTGGAGCGTATATCGCTTCAGTTGGTTTGCTGACTACTTGGCATTTTATTGAGCACTTAAAGGCTGCAGGAGAACATACTGAATGCAATATTGTGATGAAATGAGGGTAGATTTCAAGTCAGGGGACATGTTTGACTCATGTCAATATTCTGGTTGCATAATAGCTGAGCAATTTCTCAGCAAATTTTAGCCTCACTATTTGCATCTGCAAATTGGTACAATGTGAATCATCCTCCTTACCTCCTTACAAGACATTATTATTTCTTTCCATTAATGGTTAAATGTAATAGCCAAATGCCATTAATTCCTAGATATGATGATGAAAGTTTGTGAAACTCTGAACTCATTAGGTGGGGAAAGAATGTACCTCGACAAAGGCCATAATAATAAGCCAACAGCTAATACCACAGTGAATGGGGGGCAGTTGGAAGCTCTCTCTAAGATCTAGAACAGAGCAAGTATCCCACTTCCAATACTTTTATTCAACTCCTAGGCAAAGCAACCAGGCAGAAAAAGAAACAAGACACCCAAATTGGGAAGGAGGAAGTCAAACTGTCCCTGCTTGCAGAGGACAGGATCTTATGTACAGAAAACTGCAAAGACTTCATCGGAAATTATGAAAACCAGTAAACAAATTTAACAAAGTTGCAGGATATAAAAATCAACACACAAAATCAGTAACATTGCTATATACTAATAGCAAATCATCTGAAAAAGAAATCAAGAAAAAAATCTTATTTACCATATCTATAAAATAACTAGGATTAATTGACTACAGAGTTAAAATGTCACTACAGTAAAGACTGAACATATTGAAGAAAGACAATGAAGAGGATAAAAAAAGGAAAAAAGGAAAGATGTCCTGCATTCATGATTAAAACAGTCAATATTGTGAAATGGAAACAAGCTAAGTATTTCCATTGGGAATGAATGAAGAAAATGTGATGCAATGGAATACTATTCTCATGAAAAGGATGAAATATTGTCATTGATGACAACATAGATGAAACTGAGGTCATTATGCTAAGTGACATAATCCAGATATAGAAAGATAAGTGGTGCATGACCTCACTGATGGTGTGGAATCCAAAAAGTTGTTCTCATAGAAGCTGAGAGTAGAATAATGTTTTACAGAAGCTGGGAGTTTTAAGGGTGGATACAGAAAGGTTGATCGACAGGTGCTAAGTGATAGATAGAAGCAGGAAGTTTTGGTTTCTGTGTTAGTATAGGTAAGAGTGATGCACTATATATTCCAAAAGAAGGGTTCTGAATGCTATCACCTCATGAAATGATAAGTGTTCCAGGAGATGTTTTTATCTTGATTTAAATATTACACAGTATACAGGTCGAAACATAACACGGGACCCTGGAAACATGTAACATTTTTATATCTTAATTTAAATTGTTATGATAAAAGCATCTTGGTAAATATATAGATTAATGCATTTGGCACAACCATTTAGTATTTTAAAATATAAATATTTTTAGATGCTTTTATATTTTAACTTATTAATGCTTTTGCATTGAATTTACAGATCTTTCCATAATTACACTGAAAATTTGTATCTTTCACTAAGTCATGTCGCTGTAATTGCCATTTCATTAATTTCAGACCAGTCTTTAGAAAATGAGCAGTTGTAACTTCCAGTATTAAATTTAAATTCAAAGCCAGTAAATACTTACTGAGCACCTATTATGTGCTAGATACTTACCTAGGTATTGAGGACACTGCCTAGACCAAACTCTCAAATATCCCTGCCCTCATGGAACTTACATTCTAGCGAGGAGCAGTGAATGAGAAAATGAATAAGTGAGGAGAACAGCACGCCACACAGTGATTACTTCTGTGCAGAAAGACAAAGCAGGGCAAACAAAGGAGAATGCTGAAGAAAGGGGATTTGGGTTCTGTACACACACTTGGCTGGATGCCTCCCTGATGTGCCACCTTGCACAGACGTAAAGGAGGTGGACAGACACGACAGGCAGAGGGCTACTGAGTGTTACAGGGAGAGGGAAAGGCCCGGAGCTGGGGTGGGGGTGGGGTCTGCCTGAGGACCAGCACTAGGTCCAGTGTGGCTGGCATGGCAGCCATTTGCCACTGTCCTATCAAAATTTGCCTAGATATGGACAAACCCTTAGAAGCAAAGTGAAGTAACTCCATCTCTGCCAACTGTTTGTTTCTTCCCTTGAGCTCATAACATTGTCAAGTAAGGAAAAGGAAAGACCAGTACCAGATAAGCTAATTTCATAATTCCCAAATTTGGGAATTCATCCCAAGAAAGAAGTACAAAAAAGGATATTTGCATTATGAAAAATATGTAGAAAAAGGGATAGGAAAGACTTCATGTGATATATGTAGACAGAAGTACAGGGAGCAGGTATATTTTAGGGTTAGTCTTCTTCATTATTTTGCCAATATAAGAAATTTTGTGCATAAAGTAATGTGACTGAGGTAGTAAAATACATGTGACAGTCATTCTGTAACCAAACAGAATTAATATTCCTATAAACTGTCAAATTTAATTAATTACTCAAGCAATAGCTAGATTCTACCTACTTGATAGAGCTCATATTCTACTGGGGGAGAGAACCAGAATATACAACTCTAATGCAATGTAAATTGTGCATTAATAGATGCACACTGCTACTAAAGCTTATGGTATGCTCCAAAAACACAGCTTTCAGAAAATTCTGAAAATAGTGCCTTATTAAGAGGGAGAAATGCAATAAAGACCTTTGCCTTAAAAAGGACTGAAGTGTAAGTTAAGTGTAACAGTATTAGAATCACAGCGGAGTTTAAAATATATTATAATTAAAATATTAATTAAAAATGAATATAAAGTATGCTGGCGTGGATTCCTGTTCTTACTTTCCTAGAATAAAATTCAGCATGTATGAACTTTCTTTGGCCTGTAAGTATGATGACTCGGAATTCACACAGAGTAGAGTAAAGAAGGAATTTCTTAGACTGACAAGTTCTTTGTACACCATGTTTTATTTCAGTATCGGCAGGTTTCCATGTGTTTTGCTACAAAAAATATAAAAATAGGCTTTATAAGAAGAATAATAAGAAAACAATTCGTATGATTTAAGTAGTCATTCAAAATAACCTTGACTTTGTAGAGAAATGTCATGCCAGCCTCAGAATAGTATTTTTTTTGCTTCATATCAGATTAACATGAGTTTGCTTCACTTACATGCTCCCTTCACTAAAACTTAGGAACTCTTTACAGATTTATGAACTCCTAAGAGATTATAAAGATTCTCTACCTTGTACAGAGTTATAGGAAATAATGCATTTTATGGTCACAATATGTTTTATGAAAATAAATATTGTCTCAGCTCACTTTACAGACTCTGAATATGCTCTTTGTTCTTTTAAGTATCCCATATCAGATGAAATTCCTCTTTTTCAGCTCCCATAACTTGTGCGCAATATTTCCGACATCTGGAGAAAATCTCTGGATATCAAATTGGAATAAGCTGGGCCCATCAACTAGTCAAAAGCGCCACCTACTGGCAGGTTTTTGAATCTAATATTCAGTTCATCCAAGCATCGCTTGGCCATGGAAAGACCCCTTCCTTCAAAACAGTAAAAACCACTTCCAGTAACCAGACTTAAAGCAAATATTCTTTCAACAAAAATTCATCCTCTCTAGGGTACACCAAAAATATCCAAGTGTACAAACCTGCCAATAAAATCATCCCTTTTCCCCGCATCTTTGTCCCATGCAGTAATATCAATGATTCCTCCTCTTTCTTCATAGAGATGAAAATCAAATTGTTCTCTCCACTGAGGGTTCAGAGTTTTTGGCATAATCTGGAAAACAAAAATGTCACTGTTATCTTATCAATTGCAGCCTTTTGAAAAATTAACTTGAGATACTAAGTCAAACTTTTGGTAGCATCCAAAAAAATCATATTAAATGGGCTATTTGAACTAAAGTTTCCAGATAAGTGAAACTAAACATTAGATTTCTAGCAACTTTACTGCTGAATGCAGCATAAAGGATGTGTCCCCCCAAATTAAAAGTCACTCCTTGATTATCTTACTTTTGTAAAATGAGAAATAGAAAATATATCAAGTAGTCTATAAATAAAACTCACTCATTCTATGTAATATTGACAGATAAAGAAATAACTCATAGTCATCTTATAATAGAAGAAAATCAGGATTTCCAAGGTTTCTTTTGTTTTTTCCTTTCACATGCATTAGAATCTAACTGACTACATGAAAAATAGACAATTAAATAGTGTGGGAGCAGGAAAGAAAAGCAAATAGCTTTGGGGTGCTCAGGCAAAATTTAACCATAGAATTGTAGCATTGATGTATCCTCATTTAACATATGGAGGAATTAAGTGTGATCTTCCTGTTAAATACACAAGAAAGATATCTGAAGTGCAATTTTATAGCTTCAAGTAGAATCAACAAAGTGACCTATACCGATATGTTTTAAAATTCTATTCACCATTTGGTTAAAACACATTCATATTTCTCTGGGTTTTTTTTAACCAGGTAAGTATGTAGTGACCTTCTCTCTTTTTTAATGGATGACAGACAGCTCTTTAGATGTAAAGAGTTTGGAAACAATGAAGTATGCTATGTGCAAAGGTAGTACAAATGAATCACAATTTTTAAAGTTCACAATCTGAAATTAATCAGCAATAGATCATGGACAGAAAGAGCAAAGAGAAACATGAGCTGGGTTTCATGTTTCACATCTAAAGAACAGAACTACAAATATAATGTCTTAAGCCTTCTATAACATAGAAGTAGTGTTAACTGAGGGAAGATAAGAATGAAGTGGTCATAGATACCTTTTTTTTTTTTTTTTTGGAAAGAGTAACTACTTTAAAATTTTTTATTACGCTCCTTGTCAAAGCAACAAGAGGGCTGGGGATTTAGCTCAGTGGTTCCGAAGCCTGCCTCACAAGCACAAGGTACCAAGTTCAATCCCTGGTACCAAAAAACCCCCAAACAAACAAAAAAACAAGGAGATGGCACAGGATGAATGCTGTAATAATTTAACTGTCTTGCAATTGGACTCAGATAAATTATTACAGTATCTTGGGATGTGGTATGTCTTCTTTATGTGGCTACAACAGACTAACTTTTCAATTTTTTTTCCTTTTAGGATTTTCTTCCCTATATGACTTCCTTCATTCAGGTCAGAAATGGCACCTTTCCAGTGTACTTGATAAGGCACACAGTCAGCTTGCTAGCAGTGCTCCCTGCCTACTGCATGCTGTTTTTAACTACCGTAAGGACTGACGAAAATTTCTGGGCCAGAAAGGAAGTGGAAAAGCTGCTGAGGCGGCAGGAGGATCACAGTTCAAGCTCAGCCTGGGCAACTTAGTAACTTAGCGAGACTGTCTCAAAGTAAAAGAAATTTTTAAAAGGCTGGGGATGTAGCTCAATGAGAAGACCCTGGATTCAATCCTCAGTACTGCAGAAACAAAAAGTAAACTAAACCCAAACAAAACATCTGTGACAACGATGACCTCAGGCAAAAGAATTCTCCAAATGGAATGTGCTCTTTAATTTAGGATGGATATAATCATTTGTCCCATGAACACTAGCTAAAAAAATTGACTAGCAAAGAGGTATAGTTGGACATAACACATATATTTTTGGTACTATGACCTTTATTGATTATTATTACTCCTATCAATACTAAGCTACTAATATTATTAGTAGTATGCTGTTATTAGT